TTTCTTGCTTCATTTGTTTTGTTGCCTGGGACTCAGTGGTGATGGCAAGTTTTTCAGCAGTCATTTTAACCATGAAATGACTTTGCAAAGGAAAGCCACACTCTCAGGATGACAGAAAAGGCAGATAGGTGGGCAGACAGAGAAGGCTAAATTTCTTATCTGAGTTGGAGTGATTTATCAGAACTTCTTTCAGGAGAACTTTTTCCTTTCCTTTCCTTTCCTTTCCTTTCCTTTCCTTTCCTTTCCTTTCCTTTCCTTTCCTTTCCTTTCCTTTCCTTTCCTTTCCTTTCCTTTCTTCTCTCCTCTCCTCTCTTCTTCTTTTCTTTCTTTTTTTCTTTTCTTTTCTTTTCTTTCTTTTCTTCTTTTCTTCTTTTCTTTTCTTTCCTTCTCTTCTCTTCTCTTCTCTTCTCTTCTCTTCTCTTCTCTTCTCTTCTTTTTTTTTTTGAGACAGCATCTCACTGTGTAGTCAAGGCTGGCCTTGAACTCACAGTGATCCTCCTGCCTCAGCTTCCCAAGTGCTGGGATTACAGGCATGTGCCACCATGCCTGGCCAAGACATTTTCTATGTCATAAGCTTCTTTTCCTTGTTTTGAGTGGGAATCTTGCTATATCACCCAGGCTGATCTTAAACTCTTGGATTCAAGTGATTCTCCTGTTTTAGTCTCCTTGGCTACAGGTTTTTAAAAATTAGTTTTTTTTTTTTTTTTAAATGTATCTGAGGGCAAACAATTCCAATTGAGAGTGAGATCAAGGGTTTCCTTTTTGGTTTTCAAGAGACTTGTGGTAATTTGCAGATATTTCACAGGATTACCTTGTGGGTGGTTGAGGTTTCCCCCTGGGCCAGTGAGCCAGAGCAGGGTTCTGAGGGAAAAGAGACAGTATCTGGCAAATGCCTGGCAGGGTGAGGGTCAGTTTTCAGGAAGGATGATGGCTTTGAAGGGGGAGATGGGAGAAACAGTTCCCCTTCAGCTCTCTGTCACCCAGAGCACCCCACAATGGCAGCCCTGGCTTTAGGCTGTCACTCTGCAAGGCCAAGGCAGGAGTTGTTATGTGATCTGGTTTGTAGTAATTCTCTAAATATTGTTCATTTATTTCTACTGACTTACTAAGATAGGATTAGGAAGAAACTAGTTCTTGGTAACCAAAAAGGAAGTGGAAATATTTTTCTTGCGTAGGTTTGCACAGTTGGATGAGCAAAAGACCTGTTTCTTCTCTAGAACTGCCACCTGCCATGCACTCTGAGCTCTTTCTCCTCCCCGTTTGTGCTCCTGAGAGGCCCAGCCCTGCCTGTCTCACCAGGCTGTGGGGGCGGGAGGGAGGGTTGGACACCAGATTCAGTTCATTTGCCCCCCGCCTTGCCCCCCAGCCTGCTTTGGGCCATTATGTAGAGGATGGCTTTCCTTCCCCTGGATGTGACACTAAACATAATCACATGCAGCATTTGACAACAGAGCTGGTAAGGAGAGCCTGTGGGAACGGAGAAGGAGGAGAACTGACATGGACTTCAGTGGTCTCTGAGAGGGCCCTTCCAGGAATCAGGTGCTGGCCGTAGAATGAAGGGTGTTAACTCGTGATTTGGTGAAACAATTGTAGAACAACGTGTAGGGGAGATACAGCATCACCCCAGGTACACTCTGGGGTGACTTGCTGTTGGGTGGTGGGGTGTTTGATGCAGAGTGAAAAGAGGCCAGCATTGGATTGTCAACACACACGTTTTCAATGGACTTTTGGACTTACCATGTGTGAGTTCTTGAGAATGCTATTATAACACTTTAAATTTAGATTTCCTTTTTATCAATAAATGAGAGATAATCCTGTTATTTCAGCCCTTCTGAGGGCTACATGAGATACAATGTATAGAGCACCTTGGATGGTCCTGTCCTGGTGGTGGGTGGTCTTCTTTCCTAAAGGAAAGACCATACTTTGTTCCTATCAGTCTGTGTGAAAATTTTTCTCTTTTTAAACATTTGACATGACAGAGAGGGATCCTTCAGTTATATTACTAAATAAGGGCCTCTTCAATATTTAACTTCAGCACAGGCAAAGTTCATTCTGGGAAACAGGAGTGTGTGTGTACACATATGCACATTTGTGTAAGTTCAAATACCTTACAGCTCCTGCTTTCCAATGAGTAATTTAAAAACACTTTAAGTATACTAGTATCACTTTAAATGAGGTCTCCTCTCATCCTTCCTGAGAGCCCTATGCTGAGATTATAGCCATGTCCTCACAACTCTAAAGCTGCATCTCCTCGTTCCCTCCCTGTTACCATAAAGCTTTTCCTGCCCCAAATCACCCAGATTGCTCCAAATCTCAGTGTGTAGAGGGGTGAGATTCAGGGATCTCAGATTTTCTTTTCCCCAAAAGAACAAAATGTTGTCACAAGACCTCCTAGAAAGAGGTCTGGGCTATCCTTCTTGTCTGGGTCCCATGAATACCCTTTCTCTTTGGGTAGAACCTAAGCACCATCCCAGAAAACAGGAGAAACAGGTCCTCCAAAGAGACCTTTCTCTGACTCTCAGCCCTGTGTCTCTCCCGCTTCATAGGCCCGAGAGTGCATGGCTTCTTTGTGACCTTTGATTTGGTTTTGTTTTGTGTTCTTTTCTCTCCTGGCTTCTCACTTGCTTGCAGCTGATCTTTCCCTGCAGACTGTGGCCTAGGGGTTCAGTACTGCTCTGGGAACCCCAGAGTTTTCCTCTACGCCCAAGAGAGGTGAGGAATTTGGACTGACCCAGCCCTGCTGATGACACAGAAGACTTGATTTTTTTCCTCAAGCCCCAGGCCCAGCCTGGAGGAGGCAGAGAATGGGAAGAGGGAGTCATGGTCCAGCTCCTGCTGATTGATCAGACGTTTTCTCCATAGGATGCTTTCCTTTGACCTGGGCAAAGTCAGTGCCCACTCATGCTTCCTCTTATGGCTGCTGTACCACAGTCATGCAGAGCAGGAGCTTAGACACTTGTGGCAGAAATGGACTTGACCATCCCTGTGCTCAGTTCAAATCGCCACAGCCCGAGGTTCCTCACCAGAGCCAGAGCCTGCACACACCTGCAGGAAAGCCAAGGCCCTGCGACCCAGCGGCACTGCTGGTTGGAAGCGCTGCAGCTCACTCTAGCTCATCTGGAGCAACTCTGATGCTCCTGGTGGTGTTGGTTTTGTTTCCTGTAGACCTTAAATCCAGGCGATGCCTGTCTACCTTCTCTGATTGGCTGGATGCCCCGTAGCACAACCACCAGGGAAACGCTTCAGTGCCCACCTCATGGCATCCTCTCTTCTCCAGAGCCTGTGTCTTTGTGTTTGCACCCCTCCCTGCTGCTCCTCACCTTGCTTCTCTCACTTTGAAGGCTCAGTTTAATCACCAGCTCAGGTGTCCTGTTGAGCCTCCTCTGACTAGCACAGATCTCAGAAATATTTTAGAGATGGGACTTCCATATTTCTCGCTTCACTTTATGGATCTTCACTTTATGGATCTTCACTTTATGGAACTTCACTTTATGGATCTGATTTATGGATCTTCACTTTATGGATCTGATTTATTTTCTGGGAATTTCTGATGCAGGCTGGGAAAATACGCCTATCCTGAATACAGTAAAATCTTTAGGAAGTTACAGAAATTTTCTCAAGACAGAGTGGGAGGTTATGCAGATGCATACGCTGCATTTATTCCAGAAAACCATGACCTAATCAATCAACTGATTCACCAATCAATCAATTGGATAATTGTGGAGGACCACCTGGACAGCTTTCCTTGAAAGAAGAGCAATTATCTTCACTTGGCTAAACCTGGCCCTACCTCTGTGTACTGATATGTACAGAGCTGGCTGGGATAGTTCCTTGTCCCCCAGTTGCCTTTAAGCAATGCAAATAGGTCTAGCTGAGGTGCTGATGTGTAGTCTTTGAAGCAATGCAACCCATTGGTCAGTAATTCCCTGCCTATAGCTCCCAAGTAGTATGCATGAGCTAGGCCCAGTGATGCCATGCTGTTGGCTAAGAATGAACCTAAAAAAGGGCCTATGAGTTCTCAGGGCACTGTTTACCCATCAAAACAGAAGCACCTACCCACAAACACTGGATACTGCCTGAACCTGTGATATGCAGATTACTTTCTCTGCATATCCTTCTCTCTGCATATTGCAGCAGTGATTTCAGGCTTCCTACCTAGTCCAGCTCACAGCACTTACCTACTTTCCACCACTCTCACAGTCACTCATCCCAAGCCACTCTGCTGTTCACGAATTAATAAAATCTGTGTTTGGTCCCGGGTTGAGGCCTTTGTTCGTTTAGCCATTGTTTTAGCTGAATTTAGGATCTCCTTAGCTCCCCATAACTACAAATATGCTTTAGTGTCTTTATTTTCACTATACATTGCACAGGAAGTGGTAGGTTGGAATTAACTCACTAGAATTCCAATAAATTTTCCATGGGATTGCAAATGTGGAGATTTTCCTGTACTTCAGTGAGGTCCAGAAGATCTTTCTATAGATAACAGAGATTTATTGAGCTTCTCTGGTGTGCTTAGCCATGTATTAAGAGCCCTGAGGAACATGGAACAAGGAACAAGGCATGGTCCCTGCTTCGAGGCACTTTGCAAACCATTTGAGAAGATGAATGCTTATGTCTGTACAGAGCCATCCCTTGGGTAGTGGTTAATTGATTGCTTTCTCTCTCTCTTCCCTCTCCCCGCTCTCTCTCCTGTGTGTTTGTGCATGTGTGTGGTATGGGGGGCAGGCACAACTCCTATGGGGAGGGCTGGTGTGCTACAGGAAGCAGCTTGGTTTTGGGGTTGGGGGACCAGGCTTGAGCCCTACTTCCACTTCATACTAGCTATGGCTCTGGTATGAAGCATTGCTGAGCACTTCCTGGGCACACCCACAGCTACATATGAGGTGACAGAGGGCCGGCAGGGGCTGGGAGCCTGGCTATCCATCCTGAAGTGGCAGTCTCAACACAAGCAATGAGACCAAACAGCAGATGACAGCATCTTTCATATGCTCTGTCCCCAGCATGGATGAAGGAGAGTCTATGATCCTGAACACCTGCCTTTCCAGACTGATACAGTGGAGGGATTTATGGTGCCTTGGTGAGTAATTTGAATTAACAACAATGCTGTGTGTGGAGTTCCTGCCCACATTTCAAAAAGCCAGCAGATGATTGCCTGCCAGCATGGGTCAATGGTAGCTCCTTAAAACCCATGCTTTGGATTGTCTGCCCCATGACCAAATGAGATCATGTACTGCTTTTTATTAGTAAGGACAAGGAGGCTGTCCTTATTAGGAAGGAAAATAGATTCCTCAAAGTTGAACATGAGTAAGTTAGTGAAGCTTAGATGCCAACCCTGACCTCAGACCCCATCTCTAGCTTTGCAGACTTTATCTCATCTTTCTATTGCTTCTCCAAGTACAGATTAGAAAACTGAGACTCAACAAGGCTAAGGTGTTTAAAATGAACCCAGCAAGAGCTGGGATCCAAACATGAGGCATTTGATTCTAGGGTCAGAGGGCATTCCTCAAAAGTGAGGAATTGTGGGGACAATTTTGGATGTGAAAGAAATAGTTGGTGAACATGAAAAAAAAAATCTAGCCTAGTAGTTGAAACTGTCAGGACCTCCCCTTGTACAGAATAACCCTAACATACTCTAAAATATTATTTCTGAAATGCAATCTGACTATAAGATACCAGGGAATCCTGCAAAAGTGTGAATTTAGATCCAGGGGTCTGGGGGAGAATCTGAGGGTCTGCATTTCTAACAAGCTGATGTGAATACCCAGCTTCTAAATCAGGTTCTGCAACTGGTATGTTTTTCGTGTTTTGAGCCACACAGTTCTTTGTTGTGTTCAGCAGCATCTCTGGCCTCTTCCCACTAGGTGTCAGTAACATCATCCTTCTGTGACAACCAAAAGTATGTCCTGACACCGCCAGCTGTTCTCTAGGGGAACAAAATCCACCTCTTCTAAAGATCAGGGGTCTAAACCAGTGGTTCTCAAACTCACCTGCACATTGCAGTTACCTGGGAAGCTACTAAACCCTTGGTGCCTGTGGCCTAGTGAGAAGACTGTGGTCTACTTGACCTTGAATGCAGCATGGGCTGGGGATACTTAAAAAGCTTCCCAAATGATCCTAATGTGCCGACAAGTTTGGCAACTTGTGGTCTAATCTCAAATTCCAGACCAATCAGCTTCTCTCTCTCCTTCAGCTTTCTGGAAGCTGCCAAGCCTAATACTCAGAGGTGCCCATGTCTGACCAGACACCTGGTTCTGAGAAAGGAAGCTCCCTTTTCAGCCATCACTCATCACATAGAAAGGCCAGCTCTGAGCTGGCTCCAGTCCCCCAGGAAGGAAGAGCAGGAACAATGTGCACAGGGCTGGAATATATTTAGTCCTCATCCATCATGCTGTCTGGGGCTGCTTTGCATACAGAAGCAGTATTTGTTTCCATCTCCCAGTTTGAGCTTGGATCCCTTCTCTACCTCCTCTAAACCCTTTTAGGATCATTCTTTTTCCCCCTCACACTTAGAGGACAGGATGATAGTCCACTGTTTGCTTGAAGCTTGGGTGGAGCATGTGTGTGGAAGTAGAGAATATTTGCTAGGTTAGGATCTCACCTAGCAGACTCTGCAGAGAACATCTGTTCTTAGCTTTCACCTCTGCTAAACTGCATGCATCATGGAATTCATTGCACTAAGGCTATTCCTGTCCAACCAAAGCCACATTTGTTATGCTGTCTGCTGGGACAGGCTGTGAACGTGGACCAAATACATCCACATTCGGGTCCTTGGGCAGGAATTGCTCGTGAAGAACTCACCTTTGTCAGATGAGTTTCTGCTTCAGGAGAAATGAACAGGGAAGGAACTGATCCTTAAAGCCATTATTGCTGATATGATGGGGCTGAGACCCACACAGAACAAGACCAGACCTCTGACATGAGAGCAGTCTTTATTGGGGAGAGCGACATGGCGGGCTTCCCAGCGTACTAGGACAGCCCTGAGCTGAGCAAAGCATGGGGTTTTTAAAGCTAACTTTCAGGGAGGGTGTCTGTGGGCTAGACAATTTTTTTGAGACGGGGTGTCTGTGGGCCAGAACAGCCCGAGCAGGGGTTATCTGTGGGTCAGAATAGCCGAAGCAGTGTGGGTTGTTTGTAAGAGCTGAACATCTGGTTCTGCCAAGGCAGATGAGGGTGGGGTTGGCTTTTGTTGAGGGGATCTGAAGGGAAACACGTGAAGAGGAAGGAGTTTTTATTAACTCCTTAATAAGACAGCTTAAATCCCCCTTGGGGGGGTGGTTGCCTTGTGACTTATCAATTAACACTACCCTTTGCCTAGTGTCTACTTCTGCTTTCTCTTCCTAGATTGTATAGGAGAGAGAGAAGGAATGGTAATGATGAAAGAGGAATAAACACTCATCAGAAAACACATCTCTCTTGGTGGCAGCAGTGCTCATGGTCCTTAGGGACAAGTAGTCTGGGACAAGTTCCAAGGTCTGTTTTGCTTTCAAGGTGACTAGCAAGTTACCTAAATGCCTTGAGCCTCAATTTCTGTATTTGTAGACAGAAAGAACCATGAATACCTACAGGCTTGACATGAAGATCATAATGAAATCTAATGTTTACTGAGCACTATTATGTATCAGAAACTCACTTTAGCTCAGTTCCTACTGGCCCCAACAAGACATACAAAACGTTGGTCTCATCATCATCTCTCCCATTTTACATCTGGGAGAATTAAGGCTCAGAGAGGGTGAGTCATTTGCTAGAAGCAGGACTCTGGGGCATGTGATTTTAAGAATTTAAACTCCAGTACTTACTAACAAACTTAAAGTACTGGGAAGGCTGTAGTGTCCTACAAATGCTCCTGTTCCCCTTTCTACTTGTGTAATACATTTATTCACCTGATTGCCAGCACTATCAGTGGGTTGGATAAAGATAAAGGCAGAAGATTTAGTAGATGGATAAATAATGTATCTTTTGGATAGTAGAATCAAATGACTGCAGAACCTAACCTAGTGGATGAGATGACTTGATGTTAGGTATGGCACCCATGGGCGTGGAGTAAGCTGCTACAGGCATTTGCAAAACAGGGATTCAGGCTAGGTATGATTTGCCCATATAGTACACAGATGACAGCGATGAAGGGGATGGGCTTGACCTGGCCACCAGTCACTGTCCTCAGTTCTAGAGGAAGCCAGGGCTCAATCCACATTAGCAGGTTTCTCAGTCAAGTACCTGTACTTTCACTAACATCTTTTTTCTAAGCCCAGAGTAATAGGCTTGAAGACATCCTCTAATTTGTATTGTACTTGAGTTCTTCTGTCTGATCCATGAAGGGAGGAGATAATGCGCATGAAAATGGCCACAGCAGCAGTCTCAGCAGCTGGTCCTTGGAGGCTGAATATGTATGAAGTACTTTACAGCATGATTTGCACACTTTACTTAATTAGCATTCACAATCACCTAATGGGATGGATCCTTGTCTTGCTTCTCTTTTACAGATGAGGAAATGGAGCACAGAGAGATTATATGATTTGCCAAGGATTCCATGCTCAGTTTGAGAATTTGGGATATAAAACCAACGTAGTCCAGAAGGTGGTGAGTCAGGAAGAACTGGCTGACGGAGGGCCTGCGATGATCCACGGGTTGGTCCATGGGGCCCTGGCCATTGTGGCCATGGACCTAGAGACTGCTTTACAAAGTGGTTCTGACTGGGTCTTGATGTATACCCCACCTCTGTCTGGAGATAGCTTTTCTATCCCAAAGTGTGACAGCTTCTCCTAAGTGTAACTGTCACGGGTTCTGTGATAAAAAGGGTGATTTCCATAGTTTTCCCAGCATGTAGAAGATGAGATAGTGTCACATGTAATAAAGCTCAGAAAGGCCCTAATATCCTGAGGTTCTGCCTCATTGTTCTTTAAGCTCAGGGAAACAAGTTCAGATCTGCTCCCATTTTGCATTTATCAGGACGTGACGTGGAGGGGAAAATTCAGTGGCTGTAATTTAGCAGGTAGTCTTAAATCCTGTCAGGAGAGCTTATGGGTGCAGGAGCATCCGAGAATCCTGACCCTTTCCCCTGTTTAGCGATACCCTGAGGTCCTTTGCCTTGCTCAGACTGAAAACCATCTGGTCCTTGTTCCCAGCCCTCAGGGGCATGTGCAGCCTTTCCCTGAGGGAGTCCCAGTAAATGGGTCATTCAGACACTGTCCTGGGTCTCTGGTGCTCTCTGCCCATTCCCTCGTGTCCCCTCCCTATGGGTCCATGCTTACCAGCTCACATATTTACCTCTCCAAGGAGTACATTAGTTGGCATCCCTGACTTCCCCACCATTGGAAATTAAGAAGTCCAGTCCTCATGTCTCACATGTTTGGTGTTTTAGGGCCAGGCAACAGATATGTGACAATGAGCAATCCAGACACTGTTCCCACCCTTTCAGGATGGAAAATCTCATGGGTCCAAGGGTTTGGACTGGCTGACTCCCCATCCCTCACTGCTCCGTGAGACAGGCATTATCATCCCCACTTCAGGGAGGATGGGATGAAGCACGGAGGTGATAAGTGACTTTTCCAACCTCTCACAGCAAGTAAACTTCAGAACTTGAACTCAAGTTCAGCTCTGTAGGCTTTCAGTGCCCGCTGTTTTTCAAGGGTTCTGGTCTTCTAGCTCAAGGGATGGGAAATATTATGGTTTGTATATAGATGTCCCTCCAAAGCCTCATGTACTTATAGGTGGGATTTTTTGGAGGTGGTTGGCTCTAGGACATGTGAAAATGGCTTAAGGGTGTGTGATGACTGAATTAGTCCATTCACTGGTTTAGCATATTTCTGGGTGTGGATAATGGGAAGGCACACCCTGTGTCAGTGGCATCAACCAATAGGCTCACAGCCTGAATGGAATAAAAGGGAAAGGGAAGATCAATGCTGCTGGTTCCTTCTTTCTGACAGTCTTACCATGGACTGTTTCTCCTCTGCGATGCCCCTCTGCCATGCTTCCTTGCCTTGGAGCCAGTCAACTATGGACTGAGACCTCTACATACTGTGAGCTAAAATAAAGCTCTGTTGGGTATTTTGTCCAACAAGGAAGTAACTAAGACAGAACCTAAGTCTGTGGGATGCCTCCCAGAACCCAGAGTTCCTAAGGATGCTTCCTGAGTTCATTCTCATACCAGCCACTTCACAGAGGGATTGTCACTTGCACTGCATGGATGAAGGACTTCAGGGGCTTCCTCAGGGTCACTTCTGGCAGGATAAGTCAGGGATGCATGTCTTCTCTCACAATTTTCTGGAGCTCAGTGGGCCTTCAGCACCCTTAGCCCTTGTTCCTTGTGTCTGTAGCAGAGCTTCCCATCAGCCACCGCAAGCTGTTCGCTTCTATCTTTTTAATGCTCCTGTTTTTTCAGTCATCCAACCCCCAAACCTCATTTGTCCTGATGTAGTTAATTGCCTCCCCACTCTCCCAGCCACATGGGAGGTGCTCAATAAGCATGGATTCAATAAATAAATTAATACTAAGGGTTATGTTCAAGAAAGCAAGGCTCACCCTCTTGTCAGATGTTTTATTCCTTAGTCCAGAAAGTAAGAGCATGATCTACAGTTAGCAGCAGTGCTTCCTGAGCCAGCAGGACCAGACAAAAGTAACTAACCCCCCAGAGGACATCTGAGAGTGGCTTCACTCAGGGGGGCTCAGAACGTGCATTCATGAGGCAGTCTTTGTGGAATAAGCACAACAGTCACAATGAAATCTGGGCTGCATTAAAACAAGTAGCATCTCCTTAGCAAAGGTGGGTTTGTACTGACATGCAACACAAGAAGCCCCAGCTGTTCTTCTGGGAGCCTGGCTTGGTCCTTTCCTCAACCTTGCATTAGTCCTCTGCATGTCCAGATGGCCAGGTAGCATGTAGGACTTCACTCACCCCAACCCTCGACTCTATGGACCCCACCTCGCAGGGGCAGCACAGGGATGCTGAGCTGCTGAAAGCAGAGAGAAGAAAAGGGCCCAGGTGTTATAGGGCCAGATGCCCAGGTGAAGCAGAAAGACTCTCCACCTGCAGCTGCAAACATTTACAGGTTAACTATTTGCCTAAAAGCACCTTTCATCTACCCCGACCCTCTGCCTTCCTACTCTTCTAGGTAAACTTCCTAGTTTGAGAAAAAAAAAAGTGTCTCTAAAAGCATAGGAATAATGCCTGATACAGAAAGATCTGGGCTGTGTTCTTAATGTCCAGGTCTGGAATCTCCGTTTCTGAGGACATAAAGCTTCCTGAGATCCAAGGCTGTTAGCAGAGACAGCCAAGCATTTGTTTCATTTAATCAAGCAGTCCAGATTCTCACTGGCTGCTGACAGCCCATTAAAGGAAGATGCACCTGCCTTTATCGGAAAAGACAGAAGGGACAGTCAGGTCTGAGCGTCTTAGCAGCCAGGTGGAGGGGCTGGATTCTCAGCAGAAGCCAGGAGCAGGCTGACAGGGAGAGAGGTTTGCAGGCTGGTGCAGGGAGGGCTAAGTGTGGGAGGCAGAAGTGACCATAACCCTGCCTTGCTTCCCTTTGGTCTTTGAATCGCCACCACACTGCAAGCCCACTTTCCACTGAGGTGAAGCATAGAGCAAGTTACCTTTGGAAACTTCAGCCAGTGCAAGTCCAGGTCCAGTGTTCCTGTGACCTTTGCCCGATGTGTCCCATGGGTCTGGTGTGTGGAGAGGGTGAGACCCACCCCTGGCTTCAGGGGTTTCCGGTGCAGGGAAGAACAGTATGAAAACACATGGTGTGTCACTACGCTGTGGAACCAGGGCTTGGGGAAGCTGAGATTTGAAACATGCCTGGGTGTCTGCCAGGTGTGCTTACCGGCTGTGGGAAAGGCAGTTAAAGGTTCAGACAGAAACCCACAGCCATGGTCAGAGGCATGGAGGAAGACTTGTGGAGTGTGTGTGGGTGTGCACAGCGTGGGTAGGGAATAGATCAATTAACATCTACTCAGTGTTTGTTATTTCTTCTCAAGCTTCTTTCTCCAAAGTGATTCCTGGAAGCCTCACAGGCATCTCAGATGGGGACCTTTATGCCCCAGGTCCCTGATGGCAGAGCTAGGGCAGGAACAAAATGGTGACTCGCTCCATGAGGTCACCACAACAGTAGGAGGAGAGCCAGGACCACACCTCAGAGGTGGTCTCAGTTCGAGTATGCTCAGCTGTGAGCAGAGGTGGGCACATGTCCAGGAGGGCTGGCAAGTGCTGAGCGTGGGAGTCTGGCCACGGTGGTGCTGGGCTTCACTCCTGCCATCAGTCACTCTTGAATATCATCCAGTCTCCGGTGCAGGAACTGTGAAAGGGAACAAGTTAAAATACAGCAGAGATGAAAAGGCTTTCAGGAACTGTGATGAGTGAGGAAGAATCTGATGAGCAACCTGAAGGAGGTGGGGGAGGAGTCTCCTCCTAGCCCCTATTCACAGCCATCATTTCCTCCTCAATTTCAATTTCTCCCCTGTTCTGCTTATAACTCCCTGTCCTTTCAGTGGAATTGCTCTCTCTCTCTTTGCTGTCTGCTGTCTAGAACATTTCTTTTTTTTCCTTAGAGTTTTAGTGTTTTTAAAATTGTATTTAAAAAAAAAACAAGACAAAACACCCCCCAACAAAAACAAAGACAAAAATAAAACAACAAAAACCAAAAATGACACAAAGTTTCAAGACAACGTGATAGGAAATTAACAATGATTTGTTATATTGCATATTAATATCTTCAAAGTAGTTGCTCAGATTAACAGGTGCAAGATTGATGAAACAATTGAGACAATTAAGCATCAACAGTTCCTTTCAATCAACCAATAGAAAGTAGTAGTACAATTATCTTAGCGCTCTCTCTCTCTTAGCTCTCCTTCCCTTCTTTCTTTTCTCCTTTCCCCATCCCAGTTGTTCTTTCCTCTAAAAAAAATAAACATAACAGTGAAATCGAGTTTCAAAACAGGTTATTAGGACAGTTACAATAGCTGATACATTGTATATTGCTGTCCTAGTGGTAATTCAGAGTAGAAGCTATAGGCATGATATCTTGTCTATATAATATTAGCACAAAACTTTCTTTTTAATGAACTAAGAGAAACTAGCTGTGTAACAATCTTAACTATGCCTAGAACATTTCTTAAGCATTAAGAAACTTAAACTGTTGAAAAGTTTTTGTTTTCCCACATGTAGGGGAAAGTTCGTTACCCAGGACTTCTGTCCTAAGCTATGTTGTCCTATTTTGGGAACCATGAGAATCAGCCAGCCTCTTCCACTTGTCATTCCGTCAGATGCTTGAAGACAGTAATCCTGTCTGGCTTCTGTAAGCTAGTAGAAAGTGCTTTCTCCATATACAACATGAATTTGAATCTCTCCACGGAGTCAAGCCTGCTTATCTAGCCTTTTCCTCTCTGACCCCTTCATCTAACCTGTCCCTTCACCCATAAGCCGAGGTCTTGGATGCATCCTCTGATATTTACTCTATCCTTTCTGCCTGGGAGATTTTATCCATGTCCATGGCTTTAATGACATCTTTAAATATTTGTCATCCAAATTTATATCTCCAGTCTGAGCCTTTCTTCCTGGCTGCAGGCTTATATTTATACAAGTGTATTCTTTAAAGCATTTCCTACTTCTTTGACAGTTTTCAATACAAGCTGAAGTAGAGATAATGTAACAAAGCCCCAATATTTAGTATCCAGTGCCAATAACTACCAACGTTGTGCCATTTTGTTTTCCTCTATCTGTGCTCCACCCACCCCTGTAATGGTTTATATCTGGGTGCTCCCCCAAAGCCTCATGTGCTCATAGTTGGAGTTTGGTGGTTGACTGGATCACAGGG